CTTACGCAATGAGATCTCTGCAGATCTAATTCAAAATAGGTAACTATATATATATATATATATATGTATTTGTGTATCTTCCTTCTTTTGTTGAATCTGGACGTTTACATGTTTCTTTTTTTTTTTTTTTTTTTTGGGTTTTTGTGGGTTTGATTCGAAATCGATTTCTGCGTATTGGGTTAATTTAGGTCTGATCTATTCGTTGGGATTGTAAGAAGTTAGGGTTTCAAAAGTTTATGGATTGATTGGTTTGTGTTACTTCTGATGTTCACCATGTTAATGATGTTGCTATTGTTCATGATGATGTTCACGATGTAAAAACCCTAGGCGTTCTAATGATGTTTGATGATTTTGCTAATATTTTGATGATGTTGATAATGTATATTAGATGTTGTTTTAATGATGATGTTTGATGTTATTTTGATGATGATGTATAAATGAGACTACATAGTGCATAAGAAAACTTTTAGAACTAAATGGTTCAACTTTTCAGAAAATAGGATTTATGGATAAATTTTCCAGAAAAAAAATAAATTAAAAAATTAATAAGATAAAATATTATACTTCTTCCGTCCCACAATATTAGTCCTCTATTCCATTTTTTATTGTCCCAAAATATTAATTCCTTTTCAAAAATCAAGTACAAAAATAATATAAATTTCCTATTTTGTCATTCTTTTAAATTCATAAACAATATAAAAAGTACAATTATGTCATTGATATTTTCCAAAAAATGTACTATCAAAGGATAATTTTAGAAAATCAACTTTTTTTAAAATACAATAATTGTACTACCAAAAAAAATAAATTCCTCAAAATGGACCATTATTTTGGAACGGAGGGAGTATCTAAATTATAATCATTTTATTTTTTCACTCACAAAAGTAAAAAAAAGTCAAAAAGTTCATCTCAAACGAAACTTTTTAGTCCCAAACTAAAATAATTAAAAAAATAAAAAGTCAAAACGCTAATTACATCCCAAACGAAGGCATAGAGTGTCACCCATATTGATATGTCAATTTACACATAAAATTTAGGAATAATTACATTTTACCCCCTGTGGTTTCTCGCGTTTTCATATTACCTCACTAACGTTGATAAATGTATTCATAAATTTCCTGTAATTTTAACTGAAGTGCAAAAGTGACAGAACCTGCTAAATTTAACAGTGCGTGAAGCAAACGTGCCAGAAAAACGTGTCTGCACTGAAATTAGAGATTTTAGCATCAAATTTAAAATTTTAAGTGACCAATTTACCCTCTCACTTATATATATATATATATATATTCCAAACAACTTGAAGGTCAGAACTAACAAATTCAGTACTAAATAATTTTTCTTTACAGCAAGGAGTTTATAATTCTCATACGATTGTGATTTCACTCTTGTTTAATATTTTCACTCATTCCGTTTAATAACCTCCTCTTGTTTACACTTTTATTTTACTCCCTTTGCTGCCACTCATTCCCTTTAACATCCTCATGTACAGAAGCCATATGCTCTACAAGCATCAACTCAAAGATGAGAATGGAAAAAAACCTTATTACCACCAGTTGGAAAATTTGGATAGAAAATTTTTGTACATAAAAATAGTGAACAGATAAAAAATTAGGCAGTATAATTTGGACCGATAAAAAATTAGGCAGGTAAAATTTGGGTAAATAAAATGGGAGCTTTTTTGATAAATCCATTTTCTAGGAGTTTTATTCCATCCAACCCATATTCTTTTTGACTATTCCATTAGGTCCAATTTGAGATAAGAAGACCAAAATACCCTTTTCATCTACTTATGTTCCATTTAGTTCACATTATTTTCTTATGTTTCAATAAGTCCTATGGGTGACATAATTACCAAAATACCCTTAATGTGAATGTTCACACCGTCAATATAAATATTTATATTGTCAATGTGTAGGGGCCCGGCTCATGTCGATCCTTATGGGTGCCCGGAAAAATTCGAGTCTGGCCGGGCCGGCCCACAAGCCAAAAAAATAGGCCCGACCCGGCCCGTTGATAATATGAATATTCACATTGACAAGTTAACATTCACATTGATAGGAGTGTAAAATTGGTCTGCGGCCCGTGGGCGGCCCGAAATCAGCCCGTTGCCCGGGGCGGGCCCGGGCCGGCCCGTTCACAATATGAATATTCACATTGACATATTAACATTAACATTAACATTGACAAGAGTGTAAAATTGGCCCATGACCCGTGGACAGCCCGAAGCCCGGGCCCGGGCCAGGGTCGGGGTGGGCCCGGCCCGGCCCGTTGACAATGTGAATATTCATATTGTCATGTTAACATTCACATTGATAGGAGTGTAAAATTAGCTCGCGGCCTGTGGCCGGCCCGAAACCCGCTTGCGGCTCGTGGGCTGCCCTGGGCGGGCCCGGCCCGACCCGTTGACAATGCAAATATTCACATTGACATGTTAACATTCACATTGAAAAGAGTATAAAATTAGCCCGCGCCCCGTGGCTGCCCGAAACTAGCCACGCGCCCGTAGGCGGCCCGGGCGGGCCCGACCCGGCCTGTTGAACAATGTGAATATTCACACTATTGAACATAGTAACATTCGCATTGATAAGAGTGTAAAATTGAACTCGCGTCCCATGGGCGGCCCGGGGGCGAGCCTGGTCCGGCCCGATTGACAATGTGAATATTCACATTGACATATTAACATTCACATTGATAGGAGTACAAAATTGGCCGTGGCCCATGGGCGGGCCGAAGCCCGCCCTCTGACCAGGGCGGGCCCGGCCCGGCTCGTTGATAATGTGAATATTCACATTGACATATTAACATTAACATTGATAAGAGGTGTAAAATTAGCCCGTGACCCGTGGCACAGCCCGAAGCCCGGCCTCGGGCCGACGCGGGCCCGACCCGTTAACAACGTGAATATTCACATTGATATGTTAACTTTACATGATAAGAGTGTTAACATTGAAGCTCGTGCCCCGTTGGTGCCCGAAACACGCCCACGGCCCGTGGGCAGCCCGAGGCGGCTCGGCCCGGCCTGTGACAATGTGAATATTCACATTGACATTGTTAACATTCACATTGATAAGAGTGTAAAATTGACTTGCGTCCCATGGGCGGCCCAAGGTGGCCCAGCGGTTGCGGTCCCGGGCCTACCTCGGGCCGCGGGCGAGTTACGGCAGCGGACAAGTTTTACACTCCTATCAATGTTAATGTTAACATGCCAATGTGGAATATTTCGCATTGTCACGGCGTCAGGCCAAGCCCGCCTCGCGCTGCGATTGGCTTCGGGCTACCCACGGGCTGTGGCGTCAATTTTACAACTCCTATCAATTGTGAATATTAACATGTCAATGTGAATATTCACATTACCAACGAGCCGGGCCTGCCCTGACCCGATGTCGGGCTATGGCGGCTGCCCACGGGTCACGGGCCAATTGTACACTCTTATCAATGGTGAATTGTTAACATGTCAATGTGAATATTCACATTCGTCAACAGGCCGGGCCGGGCCAGTCCCAGGTCGCCACGGGCCGTGGACGGGGTTTCGGGCAGCCACGGGGCGCGGGGCTAATTTTACACTCCTATCAATGTGCAATGTTAACATTGTCAATGTGAATATTCACATTGTCACGGGTCGCGGCCAAGCCCGCCTCGGGCTGCGGTCAGGTTTCGGGCCGCCCAAGGGCTGCGGGCCAATTTTACACTCTTATCAATATGAATGTTAACATGTCAATGTGAATATCACATTGTCAACGGGCCGGGGGCCCCTCCGGGCAACGGGCGGTCTTTTGGCCGTCCATGGGCCGCGGGCCAATTTTTATACTCTTATCAATGTGAATGTTAACATGTCTGTAATGTGAATATTCACATTGTCAACGGGCCGGATTTTGGGCTCGCTCCGGGCCGCCATGGGCGGCAGAGCGGTTTCGCGCCGCCACGGGACGCGGGGCCAATTTTACACTCCTATTAATGTGAATGTTAACATGTCAATGTGAATATTCACATTGTCAACGGGCCGGGGCCGAGTCGGGCCCGCCCTGGGCAGGTTTTCTAGTTTTATACTCTTATCAATGTGAATGTAACATTATCAATGTGAACATTCACATTGTCAACAGGCCGGGTCGGGCCCGCGCCACATGCCGTGGGGGTTTCGGGCAGTTACGAGGCGCGGGCCTAATTTTACACTCCTATCAATATGAATGTTAATATGTCACAAGTGAATATTCACATTGTCAACGGGTCGGGCCCGGGCCCACCCCGGGCTGCGGGCGAGCTTTTGGCCGCCCATGGGCTACGGTCCCAATTTTATACTCTTATCATTTGAATGTTAACATGTCAATGTGAATATTCACATTGTCAACGGGCCGAACCGGGCCCGCCCCGGGCCGCCCATGGCCGCGGGCGGGTTTCGCGTCGCCACGGACGGGGGCCAATTTTACACCTCCTATTAATGTGAATTTTAACATGTCAATGTGAATATTCACATTGACAACAGGCCGGGCCCGCCCTGGCTAGCGGGCGGCGGTTTCGCAGCCGCCCACGGGCCAATTTTACATTCCTACCAATGTTAATTTTAAAATATGAATGTTTACATCATTAAATTGCTAATCGTTGAAAAAATATTTATAAGGGTATCAAAATTAAATATAAGGGCATAAGTGTCCAAGAAAATAGTGTAAATCAAGAAAATGGACTTTATGGAATAAAACTATACATACATGGGACTAAATGGGTTAAAAAATTCCTTCATGGACTTCTTGGGTTAAAACACTTCTAAATTGGACTTATCAATAAAAACCCCTAATAAAAAACTTGCATAGATAAAATTTGAATAGATAGAAAATTTATACAAAAAAAATAAAATAAATAAACAGATAGACAAAAAAAAATGGAATATATAGAAAATAATTTGAATAGATAATAAAAAAGTTAACAGATAAATTAAAGATAAAATTGAAAATAAAATGTCCTTTAAAACAAGTAAAATGATCTCTCACCAAACTATTCCACCAAACTATTCCACAAATGATGGACTTCTCATAAATAAATAAAAAAATACACTAAACTTAATGTCTTAGACACCTCTAAATTGGATTTATCACCAATTTTCTTACAAATATAAGGTGTAAATAAATAAAATTAAAATTACGAGAAGAGAAATCAATTTTATTGAAATTAAAAGGATAAATAATGCAATTAACCTACTAAACAACCCAGTTGAGTCCGATAAGACAAACCTTGTGTCTAAAGAAATAGAATTATGTAACCAAATATATGGGCATGGCTGACGTAGAGATCCACTGCTGCGGCTCCACATCAAGCTCCCTGAGGCAGACGTAGGGTATCTCCGCCTCCTCCTTCCTCGTCGGCGTCGTTGTCCCGGCCAGCGGCCCGGACGACGGCCGACTGGTGGTCCGGCACGGCGTCGTCCACCCACTTCGGCTCTCGGTGATGTACAGCGGCTCCGACACAGATCCCAAAAGGGGTCGGGCTCGAGGGGGCCCAACGCCGTCGCCGTGGGTGGTCGATTTCTTCGGCCGGAAGAATCGCAGGGCGGTCATCCACCATCTCCTCTTGGTCTTCCTGGTCCTGTCGAAGTTGTCTTTGGAGATGGGTTTTTGGAGCTTGAAGTGCGGAGGAGAGTCTACTACGGATCTCGAGGAGGTCTCAAGCTTGTGCTTCTTTGCTTCCTCTAATACCTTCGTTTTGCGGTACATGTACAAACACAAAACATGCGTCAGAAAACTTCGAATTCATATGAATTTGAATTTATATGCATGCATGTATGTATGTATGTTTTTAAGGACCTGAAAGTAATCGATTTGGGGGTCGAAGCCATAGTCGCTGAAGTGGTTGTTGGGGTCTGGGATTGGAACAATTGGGGACTTGTTCGACATGGCTTCTCTCTCCCTCTAGACTCCCTCTGTTTTTGCTTTCTTCTCTGCTATGACTTCAAGTAAAGGGCAATGGTGCTGAGTCTTAACTTTTGCATAAGGAAAAGGGTGAGTGCAGTGAGAGAAAGAGAGAGAGAGAGAGAGAGAGACAGTTGCAAATGAGGAGGAGCTTTTTGAGGCTCAAGGTGGGAATTGAATTGTGCAAGGAGGGCCTACTAAGGAGTCAATGCACTCACATTTGTTTTTGGAGTCCAATGATACCTCCATTTACGCGCATTTATGATCTCAAACACATCACAACACACCTATTTTATATCAAGTGGTTAAGAAACATCTATATAAGAGCATCCCTAACTGTAAATTAAAATTTTCATTAAATTTGAATAAAAAAAAATTAATTTTTTTAATTTGATACCATTTGTTCCAACTGTGCATTAAGAAAAGTGGTCGATCGGTAAAGCATTTTTTTTTTTTATCTATTTGAACCTTTTTGACTGTTTGAACCTACCTATTTGAAAGAGAACCGGTCGACTGGTTGGTCAACCGGCCGGTCAACCTGATCTCTTCTAACGGTCACGCACAGTAATTTGATGAAACCTACATTTTGTTCTCAGTTTGATAATTTTTTTGTTCAATTCTCATTTTTATACAAATTTGGTGAAACCGTTAGAGCTCTAAAAAGTACATTTTTCACCAAATTTTAAATTTGATGCCAGGTTTGCTGAACCGTTGGAGATGGTCTAAGGAAAAGAGAATGAGTAATATTAAGGATATTAATTTTTTTTATTAAATAATCTCTTATACAGGTGTGGAGTTTGTAATTTTATAGATCGCACACTCAAAAAAATATGCTGTATATTTCATTTATAATATTCAAAAAAAATATACTAAGTATTTATGTAAAGGCTTGACACGTATCCATTATCAAGTGAATATAAATGAAATTAAAAAATTCAGTTTTAATTACTAATAAATATTACAAACCCAACCATTGAAATCTAATAACTATTAATTAATAAAAAATGCTATAAATCCCAAAAGTTTCTATCAAATGAATGACTAAATGTCGCACATAGGTGTGAGGTTCATAAAAGTGTGGATCCCACATCCATGTGAGATATTTAGTCATTTATTTGGTAGAAAATTTAGTATCCTCGGCATTACTCTTGATTAATAGAATGCAACAATTGAAAGGCCTCAAACCACATTTCTTTGTCTTCTCAAATGTTCTTTTTCTTTTTAGTTCGTGCATTCATTCTAATATTGATAGAAAATTGGACGTGTGAAAGAATGAGGGATATTAAAATTATATATTGAGTTATGTAATTATTGTGATGAAAAATAAAGGTTGTCTTCCTCTTCTATGACGATTTATCTGGTGATACCTTCAATTAAAATGTCAGGTGTGCTTTTATATCATTATTGAACGTTGCTTTCATTTTTTTTAAATACTTTGTCTCACAATTATTTGTGTTTTGTCTTATGAAATTTATTACATCTGTGCTTGCTAAAACTATTAGATGAACTTAATGCAAGAAGTGCAAATTATTTTAATATCATTCTCAGGACTAGAAGTACAAAAAAATACACAAAAAGTATATGAATAAACAAAATTTTACAAAATTTGATTGTGAGTCTCACTTCTTAAAAATCCTATAAATCATTTAGTTTTTGTATTATATTTTATGTAATTTTTTTTATATATAGTGTTCTTTATTTTCTTAAAAAGTTTATTTTTTAAAATTAATTAATAAATAAATAAATCTTTTTTTTATTTCAAACAATTTCATTTTGTTTTTATTATTTATTTTTTCTTAAAGTAATTTTAGTTTTGGACAATTACTTACTTTATATATATATATATATATATTGTAATTTTGTGCATTCTAAGTGTACGATATTTTCACTAATACACTCAGAGATGCACTATGAAAGAAGTATCATGCGAAAATCAAGTAAGAAGACGAAAAATAAATAAAACAATACAATGAATGTAAAACAAAGATCAAAGATCAAAACTCCAAAAACAAACAAACAAACAAACAAACAAAAAAAAATAAGTAGAATAAAACATTTAATAATAAACATTTAAAAATTTGTAACAAAATTTTATAACTTTGATTTTTGCCAAGAAAATCCTATTTGGTACTAGTTAATTAAAATGCTTTTAAAATATATTTTTTAAAAAATTTGAAATTAAAATTACAGTAAATTTATGTAAGCAAAATTGCTAGCCAAATTGTTTTACTTAATGTATAATATTTATATTGACTATCTTTTTCTAGTTTATTTTTTAAAATATTTATATAAAAGTAAAAAAATATTGTTAGGAATAAATTTCTTCTTAATTTAGTTATAAATTTTGAATAAAAGTAAACATAAAATAATTAATTGAACATGATACTGATGGGCACCGACGAGGGCCCAACTCACGGATCAGGGCCCAGTCCACATTCTTGCGACCAAAGCCCAATAACATCAATACTAGGCTAGGACCAATAACATTCAAACACTTGCCAAACAGGGGCCTAGACACATAAGCAGACAAAGATTCTGCAAAGTTATTGCACCACATATCAGCCATTAATGAGACTCTCATAGCATTAAATGAGACAACCTCCTCACGTCGGAATATACAGACTCACCATGAATAATGCAAGCTACAACATAGACTTTTGGTTAACACGACAAGCTGGAATGGACAAAGAAATGATGAGCAAAGGATATAAAGAAGTTTCCGAGATACATAAGAGGTTAAGTTTTTCTCTTCCCCTCTTCTCTATCTCTACTCAGTCAATCTCTCCAATTCTAACTTGATCGTCGGAGGGTCTGTCGGGGGATTACCTCCCCATTTGGACCTTTTTATAGGGGCACTCCACAGACTTCAGGGCCTGCAGACCTGTTGGGAGCTTAGACCAGCTCGACCCAGCTCTCGTCAAGAAAACTACATTATCAGTTGGCGCCATCTGTGGGAAATTTCATTGAAGAAAGATAGTTGTGTTCATTGTCGTCAAAAGAAACCCCGTATTCATCCTGCATCAAAGTGGATGGTTACGACTAGATCCATGGCTTTCCAACACAATGCTGGTAACCTCGAAGCTGAGCCCTCCAACCCAAATAACCCACCTCTATATTTCGTAGAACTCACCAACAGCATCAACCGACTGACTGAACAGAACCAGGCCTTGATCAATGCTTTACTCCAACGTAACCTGCCTATCCTACCTCCACCACAACCAATGGTTCCCCCGCACCCGAAACAAGCCCACCATCACCATCAATTCCCACCACATGTGTCTCGAGGAACACTTCCACTCTTCCCCCCGAGGCCCCAATCATCGAATCTTGATGGTCTGCACTGCCTTCCGTCAGGCTCGTAACCTCACCAAAATATGCTACCATCTTTCCATAACCACCCTTTACCACACCATACAGTCGCCTATGAAGGTGAGGCTATCATTGTTCAACCCCTGATCCCTGTCTATGGGGATAATGCTCCCATCTGGGATGAAGAACTGCGGGCCATGAAACTCCAACTACAGGAGGTCATGCAGAACATGTAGCACAAGACTTCCTTTACCATCAACTCCCTTTTCACTGTCTCTATCTGGGATAAAGCTCTTCTTTCTAAGTTCAAGATGCTATCGATCGACACCTTTGATGGTACCACAGACCCCATCGACCATGTAGAAGCATACCAAACACTCATGATCTTATACGTCTTTCTAGACAAAATCATGTGTCGCACTTTCCCTGTCACGCGCCTTTGGTTCAGTCAGCTCCCCCCAGACTCAGTCACTTTCAGCAAATCCTTCCTAAGCCATTTCATCGGTGCTCAGCAATAACGACATCCGGCCACCCAACTGCTAAACATCCGGCAGATAGAGGGAAAGTCGTTACGCGGCTATGTCACCTGCTTCAACACCGAAGCCCTCAAAGTTGAGGAAAACGACGACAAGGTCATTCTCACAACCTTCATGGCCGGTTTGCGCCAGCCCGATTTTCTTTTCTTCCTCTCCAAAAATCCCCTAATGACCATTGCCTCCCTTCTCACCAAAGCCCAAAAATACATGAACGCCAAAGACACTCTAGTAGCTCGCTACCCCTTTCAAAACCCCCCCCCCCAAGGACAAAAAAAAAAAAAAGAGCCTGAGCCACGACCCTCGCAATACACATACCGACCCCTATCACACCCAGATCGGCCTGCACGCTCGGACCGACCGCACCAACCCCCCCACTTGGTCGATTCGATCGATACACCCCTGTCAACTCACCCATGGAGCAAGTCCTAAACCAAATTCAACGAGACTATAACCTGAAATGGACTCAACCATCCAGATCTCCATCCACCTGACGAGATCAATCAAAGTACTGCCATTTCCATCAAGACCACGGCCACAACATTGACGAATGTGTCAACCTCAAAGACCAGGTTGAGGATCTGGTCCGTCAGGGATGCCTCTGTTGATTCACCACAGCCCGTCCCCCGCAGAGGCCTAGAACTGGCCCCCCAAACCATAACCGCCAATACACTCTCCTTCGACGGCCAGCACAACCTGAGCAGAATGATGACCGGCCTCAACACCAACTCCGAGATCACGACGATGCCCCCCCCGCTAGGCGAAATATGGGTCATCGTTGGCAGCCTCGCGTGCGGCGGACCGTCCCGGTCAGCACAGCGAGCTGAGCTCCGAAAAATCCGACAAGGATTCAATAGAGAAGTGGCTACGGTGGACCGGCCCCATAAACAACCTATGCAATGGTTCGAGCCGGTCACCTTCACAACGGTAGACTACACAGGCGTTCGCTATCCTCATGATGACCCTCTGGTCATCTTTGCCCAGTTGTCAAACTACAAAGTCAGGAGAGTTCTGGTCGACAACGGTAGTTCCTCAAACATCATCTTCCTCAACGCCTATCGCCAACTAAAGGTCGAAAAAGAGAAGTTGTCACCTCTACAAACCCCCCTAGTGGGCTTTACCGGCGATCGGATCACATCCACGGGCTCCATCGACCTCTCCATCACCATCGGAGAATATCCGCGACAATCCACCAAACTGCTTACTTTTCTCGTCGTCGATTGTCCCTCTGCTTACAACATCATATTAGGGCGCATCGCTCATAAAGCCTTTCAAGCCGTAACCTCCACGTACTATCTAGCCATGAAATTTCCCACTGACCAGAGGGTCGGTATCGTGAGAGGAGAGCA